GGAAAGAGTTGGGTTGTGCAACATTTTCCAGCCAAGATAATAAATGGAAATACATGGTGCTACTCAGCTTTATCAGCTTTTGAGTGGATGTTCTTCCCCTTAATCTCTTTCTTTTGTTTGACTCTGCTGTTTTCCACTTCACGTAACTGATCAATTTGAATGTCATATATCAACTATCAAGTACTAAGCACTGAAATTCCTTTTTTTTCCCCCTAAAAGAAAATGAAACTTGAAATCAATATATTGGCTGCCATTCTAATGTTGAAAAACACTGATAGTGATGACCTTCTGGTATATATTTGGACAATGGCAAAGACAAAATACTCAAGTTTGTTCTTTACTTGAGTTTCTTCTACCAGATTGATTATGTGATAGTGTTCATACTATATCTTCTGATATTTTACATGCGTGATTAATGTTCTTGCAGACACCTGGCTTCCAGAGGTTGTATTAAACCGCTCTGTGATCTTCTAATCTGCCCAGATCCAAGGATTATAACTGTGTGCCTTGAAGGTCTTGAGAACATTCTGAAGGTGGGTGAGGCAGACAAAGAAATGGGAATGAATGACGGGATCAATCTTTATGCACAACTGGTCGATGAATGTGAAGGTTTGGATAAGATTGAGAATCTGCAGACGCATGATAACAATGAGATTTATGAGAAGGCTGTGAAGATCTTGGAGAGATATTGGGCCGAGGAAGACGAAGGACAGAACATTCAGGTGAATGGGGATGGAAATCAGCATGATTTTACTTTTGGAGCAAACCAGCCCAACCCTCCCCCTGGTGGCTTCAAATTTTGATAGGATTCTGTTTTTCTAGCATTGTAGGTTTCTTTACCTCCTTTTGATGAATTTCCAAACCTCATTTTGATTTTCCCTCACTGCCAAGGGCCAGGGTTTTTTGGTTGGCACGTAGGCTTGTCTATGGAATTTGATAGATGTGCCCAAGCGGCTGTTTTCCATTAATATTTTGCATTGCCATACTTCTAATAGGAAAAAATTGTCACTCCTTGTGTTTACCCGGAATTGGAGCAAAAATAATGGCTTCTGTTCTCAGCATGTTTTTGTTTTTTTTAATTTACTTTTTAAGAATCTTTTGATTGATGATATTAGTTGTGTTGAGAAAAATTATTGAATTCTATGTTAACCGATGAAACATTCGTGTTTGGCTCGGGTTGCCCGCATTGATCTGGTCTGTGCTCCATTTGCAACAAAATCTCACAAAAGGACAACTGATCATCACCTATAGAATATAATCTTGATATATTCATCATCTCTCGTGTAAGATGAGAAAATTCAAATGCAAGATAAATAATAGCTCAAAGCTCAAAATATTTTTTATTTTATTTGATATTTAATCAAAGATATATTATAAAATTCGAACCCGGGTTAAATTTGGGTTACGTTGAAGCGGGCAGCCCAACTCCAGCTTTTGCGGGTTAAATTTGGGTTTGCTGCTCCTTCCCGTGTGAAGTGAAAACTTGCTACTTCACGTTCAAGCTGACCTGCCGAAGAAGAGAGCTTTCAACAATGGAACCCAATATCAACAACAAAGACCATGAACATAGAGAAGACGAAGAAGAAGACCAATATGGGGTTCTTCTATACTACAAATACACCCAAATTCCAGACCTCGACCTGGTATATATTTGGACAATGGCAAAGACAAAATACTCAAGTTTGTTCTTTACTTGAGTTTCTTCTACCAGATTGATTATGTGATAGTGTTCATACTATATCTTCTGATATTTTACATGCGTGATTAATGTTCTTGCAGACACCTGGCTTCCAGAGGTTGTATTAAACCGCTCTGTGATCTTCTAATCTGCCCAGATCCAAGGATTATAACTGTGTGCCTTGAAGGTCTTGAGAACATTCTGAAGGTGGGTGAGGCAGACAAAGAAATGGGAATGAATGACGGGATCAATCTTTATGCACAACTGGTCGATGAATGTGAAGGTTTGGATAAGATTGAGAATCTGCAGACGCATGATAACAATGAGATTTATGAGAAGGCTGTGAAGATCTTGGAGAGATATTGGGCCGAGGAAGACGAAGGACAGAACATTCAGGTGAATGGGGATGGAAATCAGCATGATTTTACTTTTGGAGCAAACCAGCCCAACCCTCCCCCTGGTGGCTTCAAATTTTGATAGGATTCTGTTTTTCTAGCATTGTAGGTTTCTTTACCTCCTTTTGATGAATTTCCAAACCTCATTTTGATTTTCCCTCACTGCCAAGGGCCAGGGTTTTTTGGTTGGCACGTAGGCTTGTCTATGGAATTTGATAGATGTGCCCAAGCGGCTGTTTTCCATTAATATTTTGCATTGCCATACTTCTAATAGGAAAAAATTGTCACTCCTTGTGTTTACCCGGAATTGGAGCAAAAATAATGGCTTCTGTTCTCAGCATGTTTTTGTTTTTTTTAATTTACTTTTTAAGAATCTTTTGATTGATGATATTAGTTGTGTTGAGAAAAATTATTGAATTCTATGTTAACCGATGAAACATTCGTGTTTGGCTCGGGTTGCCCGCATTGATCTGGTCTGTGCTCCATTTGCAACAAAATCTCACAAAAGGACAACTGATCATCACCTATAGAATATAATCTTGATATATTCATCATCTCTCGTGTAAGATGAGAAAATTCAAATGCAAGATAAATAATAGCTCAAAGCTCAAAATATTTTTTATTTTATTTGATATTTAATCAAAGATATATTATAAAATTCGAACCCGGGTTAAATTTGGGTTACGTTGAAGCGGGCAGCCCAACTCCAGCTTTTGCGGGTTAAATTTGGGTTTGCTGCTCCTTCCCGTGTGAAGTGAAAACTTGCTACTTCACGTTCAAGCTGACCTGCCGAAGAAGAGAGCTTTCAACAATGGAACCCAATATCAACAACAAAGACCATGAACATAGAGAAGACGAAGAAGAAGACCAATATGGGGTTCTTCTATACTACAAATACACCCAAATTCCAGACCTCGACGAGTTCTTCACCTTCTACCACTCCAACTGCAACTCTCTCTCTCTCCTCGGCCGCGTTCGAATCTCTCCGCTTGGCGTCAACGTCACCGTACGTTCTGTTTCATTTGTAACATAATGCTCCCCAGTTTTATGAGATGGGTTTTTCATAATTTCAAGCAAAAACTTACAATTGTTTTGATATGCCTCATTTCGTGTGGATTTTTTATTCTGGGCGTTTTGTAATTGATAGTTTGGGCTTGGTTTTAGGTTGGGGGGAAGTTGTCTGCACTGAAGAAGCACATTGCTGCGGTTGAGACGAATAGTTTGTTCCAAGGAACCGACTTCAAGCTGGCGGCTTGTGGTCGCCCATTGAATGACAAGGTTGCTAAAGAATGCGGGTTCACTTCTCTCTCAATTCGCATTGTCAAGGTGATTTCTTGCCGTTAAATTTTATTGTCTGTTAAGGTGGTGGTTGTTTTATATTTTCAAGAATTTGGCTTTGATTTGGAGTGTGCATTTATTTTGATGTGGATATTTTGAATTAAAGATTAGCACTATGCTTATTACCATTCTATTGATTTATATATGTCTATGTATTTACATATTTTTATCTTGAACTCAGGAATTGGTTACTCTTAGCTCTAATCCTCTGCTAAAATCACCAGAGTTTTCAGATGCTGGAAAGCATCTCTCTGCAGACGAGTTTCATTCCATGCTACAGCGAGCTGGTTAGTGACTCCCGTCTGATTTTTGCCTTTTTATTCATGGATGTTCTGGTTGTTGGACGTGTGAAGAGGAAAATGAAAACTTACAGGTATAATGGTATTCAATAATTGGTGTATGTTTTTCCAGGACAACTAGACAAAGAGAGCACAGAGCGCGATAGAGAACTTGTTCTGTTGGATGCAAGGAATTTGTACGAGACAAGAATTGGGAAGTTCCACACACCAGATGTGGAAACTTTGGATCCAGGCATTAGGCAGTATAGTGATCTGCCCTCATGGATTGATGATAACTCTGATCAGTTGCAAGGGAAAAATGTTCTCATGTGAGTGGTTATATCTTGAATATAAGTTGTCACTCGATCTTATCTTACTTGCAAATTAGTTTCTGCTGTTAGATTCTCAGAGAAAATCTTCCAAGGCAACTAGTTTTATTTTTTTCTTGTTGCATAATCGGTCAGTTTTCAATAGGCATAACTACATCCATTAAATTTATACGCCGCTCACTTCATATTTTGGTGCTGTTACAGGTATTGTACTGGAGGAATCAGGTGCGAAATGGCATCAGCCTATATTAGATCAAAAGGTGCTGGATATGAGAACGTATTTCAGGTGCACTCTTGTAAAGAAGAAGCCTTTTGTTTTTATAGAGTAAGATTCATGCTTCTTGATGATGATCGTGACGACCTCTCATGCTATATGAATTTATTTGCAGTTATTTGGTGGAATACAGCGTTATTTGGAACAGTTTCCAGATGGTGGGTTTTTCAGAGGAAAGAACTTTGTTTTTGATCACCGGTATGATTCTTTAGGTGCTGAATGCCTCTTGTGGTCATAGTTGGTATACTTTTTTATTCTCTGATTTGGATTGCCAAATAGATGCATGTGAAGAAAAGCCCATGAATTTGTACCCACACCCTGTGCCCTATTTCTGTTTGGCTTGTCAATTATATCTATATCTATATGTTTATGAAGGTTAATACTAATTAAACAATATCATTGAGTATTTTGGTGATAGAAATTCAAAATAAAAAAGTTGGAATACCTTTTCTCTTTGTGACTGTAGGATTTCAGTTGCGAGTTCAGATGCAAATATTTTGGGAACCTGTCTTCTCTGTGGTGTGTCGTTTGATGATTATTCTTCACGCCTCCGTTGCAGTTATTGTAGAATGCTTGTCTTAGTTTGTGATAGTTGCCAGGTATGTTTTCTAACTTAGTTTTATCATTACTAATTGAATGATTGACTGTTTTAAAAAGCAATCTCATTATGTTAGTGAGCTAGTTCAAGCTTCACTGCGAATTTGGTCACCAGTCTTTGGGTTCCTATATTATATTAGGGTGGATCAAGAAGATGTTTGCTTTTGTTTTATAAAAAATCCTGCATTTAAAATGGTATATCCTTTGTGTGTAAGTCTCCCTGAGTACACTGTCCTTTGGTGGCATTCTCTTTAGATTCACGTATTTGTGTCATTGTTACTGAATTTTTGAATTTGTCTCAGCAGAGGAAGGGCTCTGTATATGTCTGTGAGCTTTGCAAGAATCATCACATGGGTGTTGAGTTGGTTTCTTCCTCTGAAAATGGAAGATTAAGTTCAATACCACAAGAAATTGAGCGTGAAACTGTATCTTCAGATGCTAAGCCCTCGCCTAAGCTGCCGTGGAGACAGGGTAAGGTCTGTAATCTTAATCTCTTTGAACAACCGTGCTTTCAAGTGCACCGACACATCTTGCATTTGCAATTGGATCCTGAAGTATTAGACGTTCCTCATTTTCATTGTTTTGTTCCTAATGTTGTAATAACTGTTGTCCACAGCCGTTGGGTCTCCTCCAAGAAAACTCAGAATCTTGTGCTTACATGGGTTTCGACAGAATGCCTCAAGTTTTAGAGGAAGAACGGCATCCTTAGCCAAGAAACTCAAAAACATTGCTGAGCTCGTGTTTGTGGATGCACCTCATGAATTACCATTCATATACCAACCCTCAACTGTCACAGAGTCGCATCAGAATTGTACATCACCGCCTTCATCATTACTACAACAAAGTCCACCACCGCCCTCGGAGCATTGCAGGAGAAAGTTTGCGTGGTTCGTTGCGGACAGGGAGTGGAAAATGGGAGATGGTCCATTTGATCCTCTGCAGTACCAGCAGCAAACAGCTGGGTTTGAAGAATCACTGGCATACATCAAAACTGTGTATGCTCAGGAGGGGCCCTTTGATGGACTGTTGGGATTTTCTCAGGGAGCAGCAATGGCAGCTGCATTAGTTTGTGCCCAACAAACCCAAAGGAGACTTTTACAAACTGGGGAAATGGAGTTTGGATTTGTGATTTTGTGCTCGGGGTTTGGCCTTATGAAGTTAATGGAGGTTGAGGAGGAGAAAATTCATATGCTGAAATGCCCTTCGCTTCACATATTTGGCAGTGACCATGGAATAGACAGGCAGATTGCAAATCAAGCAAGCAGGAAGCTTGCCTCCTTATTTGATGAGGGTTGCTCTGTTACCATTGAACACGACTCTGGTCATATCATTCCCACTCGTCCTCCTTACATCGATCAGGTCAAGGACTTTCTCGGCCGCTTTCTTTAACTTTTGGGCCATTCTGTTTTTGACAAAACGATATTCTAACCATCCTAGTCATATACATTCCCTCATGTGGACCTTCATATTAGACACGTTATCATTTCATTAAACATAAGTGAAGTACCCTAATGTATGACGATCAAACGGGCACATTGTCTTCGGCCAATTGACCTAATTCATGTCTGCGTATTTATTTGGGCCTTTTTGGTACTGTTGTTTGCTGTTTGGATCTTGTGAGCCCATCTTGGCCTTATTGTGGTATGACAAATTTGATTTCCTTTTACCAAAAACAGTAAAACAGTACAAAAGAGAAGGCATCTTATTTTGGATTTGTTTGTTGCAAGTCAAGGTCAGTGTCCAGTACTGACTGACAGTAAGCAACAATTTAAAAAATAAAAAAGCAAAATAATTAACTTTGGAAAAAAAGAAAAACAAAACAAAATATCGGGAAGCGCGCTTACGCGTTAAGTCCATCAGCATGACGCGGCTTCACCGTCAAACATTGCAATTAACAAAACCAACCAGTCTCTAGATAGATTCCCTACCCCCTTCAACCTCACAGCTTCAAGTTTTTCAGCCAATCAGCGGTCACCACCTCACCACTGACCAGTCAACCCCACAACCATGGTTGAGTTATTAGCTGCCAAGCTCACTTAATTACTTAATTACAAGGGAGCTGCTTACTTAGATTTTTAGATAATAAACAATGCGTACGGAAAGCTGACGCGTGTCCCCCGCGAACAACGCGTTTTCTTCCTTCCTTTATTTGTCCACCGCCCTATATATTAACCCATCGTCTTCCTCCTCACCACTCATCTGGACCACCACCAAGCTCCCCTGTTTGCTTACTTAACATACAAGCCTCAAGGTCTTCCAAGTCAGTCAACACCACACTCAGAACTGTACGGATCTACCAGAACATACAACCCACTCACTCTTCTCATTTCATCGCCTCAAAACCCATTCCAATTTTGAAAAACAGAACATGATCTGAACTTTAATAACCGAGTAACCCGATAACCTGACACGGTTTAGATAAGGGAAGACGAAAGGTTCTATCTTGCTAGACTCTGAGTTTTTGCTTTTCCTGGTTTTGATGGCGTCGTCGGAGAACGTAGCGAGCATGATGGAGCCCTGGGCCTTCAGGACCAACACGTTCGCCGACTCGTGGATCTCCGAGACCTTCTCGCGCGACACCAAAACCCTCACCAGGGCCCTCCAGAAGTCTCTCTCCAACAACCCAGAATCGCTAGATTCTTCCTCCGATATGTTCATGCCGTTTCTTAACAACATCCTCCAAACCGAAACGGCGACCACCCCTACTGTTTCGGGGCTGTCCGGCTCGGAGGATCCCGATACGAGCCCAGCGCCGCCGAAACGCCAGCAGCGAAACGCGATTCCGGTGTCCGGTGCTGGTGGCGGCAAGGTTTCGAAACGCAAGTCTCGCGCGGCGAAACGGTCCCAGACGACTTTCATCACGGCGGACCCGAGCAACTTCCGCCAGATGGTGCAACAGGTGACCGGCGTTAGATTCGGTAACGAGCAAGTCCCCTTGCCGTCGATTCTGAAGCCGGAACCTCAGAGACCCGGTAGCCGGTTACCCGGGATTGGCTGCTGCATGCCGACCCTTGACACGTCGGCGTTTCTCCTAGAGCATCACAATCAGCAGCAGCAGCAGCTGGTAGGGCCCACGACGATGACGGGGGCTGGGCTCAATACGACATTGACTGGGCTTGGCCCAACGTCGTTTGGGCAGACGAGTATTGGTGAAGACGTAGCATCGGCAGGTGGCGTTGCGTCTGGGGGATTAGGTTTTGACTCCTTTTCGAGCTTTCCCACTTTGGAGTCCTGGAAGGTCATGTGAGATCCATTTGACTTGACGAATCATCACGCGACACGTTGCGGTGATGGTGGTGTATGTGCTGACGTACCTGTCTATACGACTTAATATTAATATGTATTTTGTTTTTCTCTTTTTTTTATTTATTTATTTTTAATTCGGTTAGTAGTTTTTTCTTCTCTTTGTTCCCTTTATATGATTTCATTACCGAACGGAACAGTGATGTATGGATTTCTGTTATTAGTTCGAATTAATGAATTAGAGTTTTTTGTATGCTAATTGTTGACATTCTCTATTTACTATTTTGCCATTTTAATTGAAAATATCTGATTTTGGAGTTGAGCTAGTCAGTCAAGCAAAAAGAAACTTAAATTGCGCTTGACTTGACCTCATCAGATAACTAATGACATCTTAGGTCTTTAATTAAATCTAATATGAATGACTAACTACCAACTCAAGGCATGCACTGCAGGAATATTTAATTTAAAAGTGCTATACTTTGGCAATTTTTATCATTTGTTTTGATAGATACTTTGACAATTAAGATAAAACTATGATACTTTTTATATTAAAGCATCCTCTTATTGGCATATCTTTGCTTGTCCCTACTCAGATCCTAAAGACCGTTCTTCTAGTAAGTTTCAATTTTATTTTTCGTCATATTTTTTCTCTATATTTTCGAGTACGGAAAGGGGGATCTAACTCAGGTGCAAGACAGCGGATACATTAGCTTGGCCAACTCGGGTGCGAGAGAACAAACATTTTAACTTGTTCAATTGGCCCAACCCACTTATGGAGGAACAAAAAAGGGGCCTAAAATAGGGCAGTAAAGAACACAAAAGAAAGCCCAAAGGAGCAGTAGCCCAAAGTTTACCCAATAAGAGAAAATTGTGAAACAAGGGTGTATTGGTAATTTGGATTATGGCTAAACCCCCATTGAGACTGTCTTAAACCCTATACAGGGGAGTCTGAACTGAAGTACCAGAATTGCCATCTTCAAACAAACAAATACTTTACCAGCTTCAGAGATTGTAGTGGGCGAAAGCAACGCAAAAATGAAGATCGTTTTAGGAAGACTTCTGCAGAGAACGTCACTCAGACAGGTACCTTACCTCCCACTTTCAATATGCGTCTCAAACAGTTGTGTTTTATTTTTAATTTGTTTTCTTATTTGAGCACGTTTGCTTGATGCTTAATCTGTTTCTTTGATTTTTCAAGCTGAATTATCAAGTGGGTAGTTCTCAAATGGTCCATAGGAGTCCAAATTATGAAAATGATGACAATGAAGTCCAAATTGTTGTTGGATTTTGATGATAAAATGGTGTCTTTCAAATTACCTATATGGTTCTGTTTTCAATTTCGGTTTTTGTATTTTTCTTCTTCTTGAGATTTCCGTGTTGTTGATTAAACGCTCTAAATTTGGTATTTTATGAATTGGATTTACAGGCAATTGGACGCCGTGCATATTCTATCAAGAAAATTGTTGATATTGGACAGCCATCTCCTGCGTCACATCCCCAGGTGCTGCTGATGCTTTAACATCAATGCATATTGGATGCATAGATAAATTTGTACAACTAGCAGGGTGCACGTGCTAGCGTTCACTGTGGCTTAAAATGAAAAGAGAAAAATGGGTTTATGCTTTGTTTGATGTAAGATTATTACGTTATAATTGTTGTTTGCTTTTGCAGTTACTGAAAGAAGGGGAAAGTACACCCGGCATAACTTCAGAGGAGTACACATTGAGAAGAAATAAGTTGTTGGAGGTGCTCCCAGAGAAGGGTTTGGCCATTTTTGCAGCTGCCCCTGTAAAGATGATGACTGATGTCGTGCCTTACACATATCGTCAAGATGCTGATTACTTGTATATTACCGGCTGCCAACAACCTGGTGGCGTGGCAGTTTTAGGTCATGAATGTGGTTTTTGCATGTTCATGCCAGAAGCGACGTCTCATGTATGCCTCTACTTCTGTGATAATATTTAATTCTATAGTATATTTTGTTCTAGCATAGTTCCAGTTGTTGTAGCTTCACATTTCTATTAATATGGTCATATGGACTAGCAGTTTCAGATGCACTAGCAATTTGGGACCTATAACTTGAGCAATAACCAAACATCGAATTGTATCTTTATTTCATTTATTGGTCTTCAAGGAAGAATGTTAAATTTTTATCATTTCATTCTTCTGAAATGTGCATGTATCATGTTGCTATTATTCTTGTAGATAGGTTTAGACTGCGTATATAGTTCAGTACAGGCTACTACATAACTTACAAATATTAAGCTGTAGATAAATTTATAAGCTAATTTTTTTTTTCTGGGTCATTCTTTGGTTAGGATGTTATTTGGCAAGGGCAAATTGCGGGAGTTAGTGCAGCACTGGAAGTATTCAAGGCTGATAGAGCATATCCAATGAGCAAATTACGGCAGGTGAGTCTGACAATTTGAAATTTGGAGAACAGTTCTGATTTGAAAGTATAACAAATTATTTGAGTGCAATCTATTAGTCAGAATAACCATGCCCTGTTCGATAAGAGTGCTTAAAATCAACTCCATAGAGATTTTTTACATAATCAATATCATTGAAATGTTCATTTTAAAATGAACATTGTGTCACTAATACAAATTAAAGTGACATTGTCATAGTCATACCAAAATGTGAGAACTTGTTTAACCTGAACAGCTCCATCCTGAGTTGAGTTTTTATAATTTGAACTTCTAAGTGCTGGGCAGTTGTGGCATCACTCGTAGTTATGCCCGTAAACTGCCCTCTAACCTTGTCATAGCTTAAAAACATTCTTACTTTCCTTTATTATGCATGCTATCATTATATATACGTTTCCTTTTCTTTTACTGACTGCAGATCCTGCCAGATATTATGAAGGGATCGTCCCAGTTGTTCCACAATGTGCAGACGGCTGTACCAACATATATGGAATTGGATGCTTTTCAGAAAGCAGCTTCCTCTGGAAAAGTGAAAGATGTTTCGGTTTTCACCCATGAGTTGCGGTTGATAAAGTCACATGCAGAGCTTAAGTTAATGAGAGAGTCCGCATCAATTGCTTGCCAAGTACTTCCAAATCAATACTATTGCTAACTATTTTATCAGCCCATATATCTTACAATGCTTTATCTCATTGCACGAATCTATATGTATGTGGCTTCACATGAGAACCGTGTTGGGGTGTTACAGTTGGCGTCATTCTTTAAAAGTTATATTTGCACCATCATGTTGTAGTTTCTGTACAAGTTCATAGTATTTCTATATCTTTGAATAAGGTTAACATTGAATGTTCATCATAGATTATTCCCTGACTTGCATTAATCGTAGACATATATTGGTCTTGGACAGGCTCTACTGCAGACAATGTTTCACTCAAAGACACATCCTTATGAGGGTAGGCTATCAGCTAAGGTTGAATATGAATGCAAAATGAAGGGAGCCCAGAGAATGGCGTAAGAATTTTCCTTTCCTGGATGGTCGGATCTGAAAATGTAATTTATTATTTTATCCACTTTATATATGCTATTTTACACTAGAAAATGTCTGGTGGAATAACAGAAAACATTGTAATTGAAATTTGGTTTGTGATGGTATTGTTGGAGAGATTTTTCTAGTGTTTTCATGTTTAGCAAGGATTTACTAATTTCATCCTCCATTACCAGATTCAATCCTGTGGTTGGTGGCGGGCCTAATGCTAGTGTAATACATTATTCTCGGAATGATCAGAAAGTGAGCTAATTATCAAATCCACTATCTACCTTTTGTGTCATAATATAGACTAAGAGAACATAAATATTCTTCATTTATGTTTACAAAGGTTTATGCACATTTTTTTCAGATAAAAAATGGGGATCTTGTCTTGATGGATGTTGGTTGCGAGCTTCACGGTTATGTCAGTGATATTACACGCACTTGGCCACCCTACGGCAGCTTCTCTTCAACACAAGTAAGGCATTGCTGCTTCTTGTACAAATTCTATTGATTGCTTTCGTTTTTATTCCTCTGTTACTCAAGAAGCTAGTATTTCTTTTGTCTTTATCTCTATTCCATTTAGGCTGAGAGCTTACAACTGTATTTTCATAGTGGCGTGCAATCTTATTAACAGAAATATGCTTTAGCTTCAAAGCTTTTTAACACGACATCGAAGATTTTTGCAGCCAATGAGTCTTCTCAGGAGGAGCCAGATCTTGACACAGCTTTTAGCTTAATTTGTTGGTTTTTATTTTATTTTTTTGGAACTCTTCAACTTTGTTTTTATTTTGTAATTCTCTTAGTGCATTGGGGCATAATATTAATAAACGAGACTTATCCATGAATCTACATTTCAGGAAGAGCTCTATGATCTTATTCTGCAAACAAACAAGGATTGTGTGGAGCTTTGCAAACCTGGTGCTAGCATTCGAGAAATACACAGCTTTTCAGTATGATCTTTTGAGTCCGAGTTGTTATGTTTCTGTTCATTTCACTTGAGAATTTCATCTTCTCTGCACCCTCTCATAAGCAATGAGACCCTTATCTTACCCTAATCACTATCTCGTGCATAGGTTGAAATGCTTATCAAAGGACTCAACGAGATTGGAATTCTGAAGGATTCTAGAAGCAGTTCCTACCATCAGCTGAACCCAACTTCCATAGGTTTCCCTGTCCATTCCTAGACAAAATTTTAATTTGTTGTTTTGCCGATTTAGGCATGAATGAAGATATGGTCTTAGTTTGCTGAAGTTTGAATTGGTTAATCAAGAAGTATTACAAAGATGATATTTTGTTATTGACCACCTTCTCTGTGGTTTTTTTGTTTTTTTTTTTGTTTTGTTTAAACGTGGTTGATAAGATTTGTTGATTTATCACTGTTCCCAAAATTTTAAGTTTTTAGGATGTGGGTTAACACTTATTTGTATTAGTTAATCAAGATGATATGTGCCACCAATATATTTTTTAACTGATAAATTTGTTCCCTTCTACTGTCCAGGTCACTATCTAGGAATGGATGTCCATGATTGTTCTATCATTGGTTATGACCGTCCTTTGAAGCCAGGCGTTGTAAGTTGCCTCCCATAGCATATTTAAGGATATAGGAGATAGAATGCAAGTACATATATTGCACACACAACCCCTCAAATTGTCTTTTTTCATAGTGTGTCTTTATCCAATTGTATATACACAAACTCTGGCTAAATGCTTGCACTGCATGAACGATTCATTGTATGCTCTAATCTTAATTTTTCGTTTTTGACAAAACTGTTTTGTTTGTGCACAGGTGATAACAATTGAACCAGGAATCTACATCCCATTGTCTTCTAATGGTCCTGAGAGGTATTTTTGGGCTTAGCTCAGTCGACAAAATAATTGTTTTTTTAACCAACTTTGAAATGCTTCAAATCAGTTTCCTTACTAGTCAGGCCCATGTACACTGTACCATTGCCCTTGGACAAGCAGTTGATCTCAAAGAGGTTCAACTGACAAGTCCACCCTACAAAAAAGTTTTAATGCTATAAGCTGACTTCAAACATCATATATTTCTTTTAACTTTTTTTGCTCTACTTTTATCCAATGGTGGGTTTGAATGAGAAACTTTTCACTCTGTTGAACGCCTCATGCTCATGCATAGGACATCAATCATCTTACCATATCTTTCAACCTTTTTGGTTTAAGTGTTCTGATACACAAATTGATGTATTGGGGATATATGATGCAGGTATCGAGGGATCGGAATAAGGATTGAGGATGAGGTCCTCATTACAGAGACAGGTTATGAGGTATATCATTAATGAGAAATTGGATATGATTTTTGTTTAGTGTTAACAATTTAGGTTTGCTTGAACCTCCCCGGGTCTCATTTGATGATCCTAGTTTTGTGATTTTCTGTTTAATTAATGCCTCTTTGAATAGCCATACCAATTGGATTTTGATTTCATAAAAGGTTTAGTTAGGGGGCAGATATTAATCCATTGCCTATTATGAGAGACAAAGGCCACTCTGTCTCTTTTCATATCAATTGTCCTCCAAGCAGCGTCACACATTCTGTCTAGCTGCTGTAAATTCGTAACAAGCATGATATTTCTGTGCATGCCAGGTCCTGACAGGGTCGATGCCGAAAGAAGTTAAACACATTGAATCCTTGCTAAACAACTTTCCCCATGGTAAGTATAATGCAGAGCCACAACAGTGAGAGAGTTTCATCCATTTGATGTGCCCTTGTAAAATAAGCGTACAATACAGATAAAAGGAATTCGCTCGACCATTCATGTCATTCAAAAGCAAAGAGCTCGCTAAATGTTCTTATTCAAGGCATGGCATTTTCCTGCAGATACTTGACGTGGGCTTTTAGCTAACTTAATTCTTGTGTATCAAAATTTTCAATCTTTATAATTGTTCCCATTTTGTTCTATTGCTATTATCATTTTGGCCACAGAACAAGTTTTGCTTTTTAATGCAAGTATATTATTTCCAAATAGCTATCTATCTATATCTATGCCCCACTCGTATTTCGAAAGCAAATTGGACTTTTTTCTCTAAATGATAAAACAATGTGGATTAGTTAAGCACCTTCTTACTTATGGTTATAAAGTGAGGGCCTTGTATATGGTCTTTAGGTGATGTTCTATTTCTTAATTGTTGGATTAAATTGGTTGGCCGTTGGATCAAATTGGTTAGCTTAATCCAACGGTTGAGAGATAGAATCTCACCTAAAGGCCATATATAAGGCTTTCACTATAGAATGACTCGTAAAAATTAAAATTACTTTAATGTTCTGGCCCTTAGCAGACCTAAAAATTATTTATTACCAGACCTAAAAATTATTTATGGCCCATATATATATATATATATATATATATGTATGGAGGGTTTTGACCAGTGGACTTGTTCAATTCAAGTGCATTTACATGGTTTGGTTTGGATGTTCGTAGTTAGGGGGGGTCATGGTTAACCATTGATGGAATAGGTTGAAGCTAAGGTTGTTGCATTTATAGGATGATTATGAGTGCTAATTTGTATTGTTAGGCAATGGTTATATATAATCAATGCATATAAAACTTTTTCTTTCCTACGCTCCGGTTATTTTAGCGCCGCACCTAGAAAAAGTTCGACAACGATGAATGATTTTAACACTTCTCTTTTAGCTTATGTACTCTATAATTTATTAAAAATATTCAATTTGGCACAATCGCGCTAACCTTATCAAACAATCCGTGAATGATGATAACATGAGCTTGGTGTGATTTCTAATTCATGTAATTTATAATAGGGTTCATGGATCCAACGTGATTGTGATTGATTGGATCATTCAAATATCAACCAAGTAGTAAAATACATTTAAAAATCCTTTGTCAAACGCCTTTCGTGGACCCAATTTTCCTCTAAAGATTTGTAGTTGGCTTATACGAAATATATTAGTCCCGTGAGAAACCAAAATTTTCTTTAGTTAATTCAATTGAACAACCTTCTTTGGATTTATTATGAATGACGCCAAAACTTCGAAAAACAAAATCTTACAAATTAAGAAAACTTAGCACGAAATAAATAGATGTTTGTTGTAGAATAAGTTTTCCAACAAGTAAAATGAAAATAGATTGAGTAACTCAGATGCAATGGAGCAAACGCACTATCGTGTCGTGCCCTAACCAATTTTGCACGTGAAAGAGTTGTAAATTAGTTCCCTTGTTCTACGAGATTGATGACCTCAATCTCTTGTGAAAAACAAAATATATAGTACATATCTACTTCGGATAAACAAAAAAATAGTACATACATACATCTGAAACTCAACGTACTCATTTAATTTTGTCTACGTACCGACTGTTTTAAAATTTGGTTGGATGGGCTAAATTGAAGTAATAAAGGGACCCCATATATACTGAAAATTTATTAGATGTAGGTGAGAGAGTGCCTCATTTTCTTTCCTTCCTTCTCCTTCTCCTTCTCCCCAGTCCCAACAGTTCACTTATATTTCAGTCCCCATAAATAGGTGACCGTTCCCAACTAGATCCCACGTGGAGCATTCTCATTGGTTGCCTCCTTAACCCTCCTCTTCCCCATTAATTTCGCCATAACTCCTCCCCAGCTGTGTCATGAATGCATGCTTCATAGTTATTCAGTACCCCCTCCACTACATCAAAATTACAAAGTGCCCATGCTTCTGCAGAAAAAATTATGCGAAACGAATAATACTGTTTTTCTATTCCCAACTGATCACACATGAAAAAGTTATCAAATGTTGCATGTCATGATTGACCGGAATATCAAAACACTACTATCCTCATTTTACACAAGTGTTTCTCATGCTTCTGTGATAAATTAGCTTGGCTTTATCTAGCACACATGATTATTATCATGATTGATGACAATCATCATAAGTTTACCTCCATCTTGAGTTCATAATCCATTTTTCAAATTATTTATTCTTTATGAAACTATCATACTTAACCAAAATGGCACATTTTGCAATTTTTGGGGAGATAGAAGGGCAAATTTTGAATGGCTTGTTGGAGATTTAGAGAATATATAAGGGCAAAGTTTTGGCTTCACACCTATATGAACCCCACGACTTTCAACTCAAACTCCCAACCTCACATTCTCACTTTCTTCAGCATTTTTCAAAACCCAAGAAAGCTCTACAAAGTAAAAGAAACTCGACAAGGAAGCAAGAAGATCAAAATGTCTCTTGTGACAGCAGAGATCAAGAGCAAGGCTGATGAGTTGTACCATGGAGATGAAATCTGCCAAGAAAAGTCACAGAAATTGCTCACAGAAATCAGCATGCCCAATGGCCTCTTGCCCTTGAAAGACATGGAGGAATGTGGTTATGTGAAGGAGACTGGGTTTGTGTGGCTTAAGCAGAAGAAGAGCACAACCCACAAGTTTGAAAAGATTGGGAAGCTGGTCAGTTATGCCCCTGAAGTCACAGCCTATGTTGAGAAAGGCAAGATCAAGAAGCTCACTGGGGTCAAGACCAAGGAGCTCTTGGTTTGGGTGTCACTCAGTGACATTTACGTTGATGACCCTCCAACTGGGAAAATCACTTTCAAGACTCCTTCTGGGCTTTTTAGGACTTTCCCTGTGTCAGCTTTTGAGAAGGAGGAAGCTGCTAACAAGGATGTCAAGGACAAGAAGGAAGTGAAGGAAGCCAAGGGAGCTGTGGAAGTCTAAGAAGAGGGTTTAAAATGTCAAGATGACTGCAAGAATTTTCATATAAAGGCTTTGCCTTTGTTTGTTGGTTCTTGCTTTTTGTCATTCTGATTGTGTTCTGTTGCTTTCCAGTCCTTCTACTAGTGCTACTTTAAAATGAAATAAAATTAGAGTTTTTTTTCCTTTGTATTTTGATGGGCAGAAGACAAATCTTTTAAGTCTTTCCTTATGGTTAGCAATTATCATTTAACATTCAAATTAATAGCTAATAACCATGAAAATGAAAGCCTTCTCAAGCAGATTTCTTGCAAACTTCGGATTTTGGACCAAAACCAGAACCTATGAGAAGCATAAACCAGAAACTTTGGATTAGATTCTGATCATTCAACCAACCTTGAACAAACACAACCACCCCATCCAATGCCTTGTACCAAATCGCAGAAGCCATTCAAGATCAATCAATTCAAGGGCTTTCAAGTACCATAATGGAAAGAAAGTTGCAACTAACACTTGACACTTGCCACAAAGAGTACCAAATTCAGGAGTTCAAGATTGCTTCTTGATTACAAGGGCTAGTTTTGTAACTTAACCTCTACTACCATAACAAGTACTCGTAGGAAACCTTTCCATTTGCACCAGTAATCACAGATGCAAAGCCTGCCAAAAATACACAATCAGACAACAACTAATTAAAGCTCCAAGAACAAATATATTATAGAAATAAGGAAATATCTGACGGTGCTCATAGTCATACTATCATCATCATTTAACGCTGAAACTGCACACATGGGGTTGGTTTCAGCAGGCAGGTGGAACTGCAACTTTCAACTCTTATTCATTTATGAACAATGTTTTTCAGATGATTATTTATGAACAACTTTCTGCACCAACTTCCTATTTATTGATCTTTAGGTAAAGGCCCTATGTTACCAAAAATAAGGATCAATGTGCGCAGCAGAATGGGAACAGGGATTTCATACATCACTTAGCCCGGAACATGGAAAGATGCTTAAACCAATGGAAGTCAAGCTTTAAATGTCATATATCATTTTCCTTTCGAAAATGAATAGTATAGGACCAAATTTTGAGACTTGGACAAGGCTGTTTGAAAACATCCTTGGATTTGGTAGTTCTTCCCATTTTATTTAAATTTTTGTTCACTTTATTCATATTTTGCATGCTGGTAAAATTTTTAGGAAGATGCTACAGAAGTTAGAACTCAGCTCTTTTCCTAACCCTCTAACTGACTCACATGAGGAGGAGGATCCACATGGATTCTACATTATTCTGCATCTCATCTCATGTAAAAGGGTTTAGGTTCTCAAGCATTCTCCAAGTTTATGTGTTGGAAAATGGTAAAACTTGGCTGAATACTTCAATATAAAAAAACCTTGAACATGGCAAAGCCCTGATGTCAATAAGAGTGGCTGAAAGTTAGATAGATAGAAGTTCATACCCGAGAAGCCATAACCCATTTGCCACCAATCCAATCCTGATGAAGCCTTAACTCAGAGTGCTGAAATTCAATTTCCTCATAGGTGCCCCTGAAGTAGACTACGTATCTTGAGCCCCTAAGAACCTTCGAGATCACACCAACCCACCAACCATCATTGTAATATCCATCAACCTCTTGCAGCAAACTGAAATGATCAACAACAGTTTCGGGCGGACAAGGTCGTATGTGCAGCGTATCAATCTCTTCTCTCAAAAATGCTGAATCATCTTCAGTCCTCAAACTCTGGTATTCAATAAGGAACTTGTCCTCCCCCACCGCTTCCACTATAGTTGCAGCAAACCAAGCACCATTAAAACCCTCTTCGTCACTGCTAACCTCAACTGGGGTTCCTTTGGTAAAAATCTCATGAGTTGACACTTTCTGCAATTTAGAAATCTCACCTTGTCAAATTTGAACTAAAGATAAATGAGATAAAAATGACCAACAATAAAAAGAAAAAGAATGTGCCCAGAAAAAGGAAGAAATGCTGACAGACCAAAATTGGTATACAAAAACCACAAAGGAAAGAAAATATAATTTTCTATGCTCTTTAGACTCATATCATCCAAATAAATTTGTTAAGAGTTTCAAATCTTAAAACCTCTAGTCAGCATTGGCCCTTGTGAGGCATCATCATTGGTCATTTTATTAATGTGAAACTCTGATGCTTAATTTCTAATGAAGGAGACTGGACCTCAAAATCTTAAGGGTGCTAGTTGTCTTATTTCCCAAAGTATTATATTGTGATCCCAATGCAAGAAATCCCTTGCAATCTTTTAACCCAAATTGCATTTGATCAAACTAAAGCTCAAGCACAACAATTCCTACTTATTTTAGCCTACATGCATACATTTTCCTTGTTTATCTAATTTTTACTTTTTACAAATTGATCGGTAAATAAATCATATTCACTCAAGCTGGAGGAAATTAAGGAAAAAAAAAGGGTCTGGGTCCTCGGTCAATCTCTAACAAATAAAAAGAAACATTTTTTGGGCCATTTTCCTACAAACCAAACAAGCCTAGAAAAACCTTTCGAAAAAAGTAAAAACCGAACTATAAGAACTGAAAAGTTTGAAATTTTTTCTTACCTCTCCTTCTTCTTCTTCTTCTTCTTTCAGGGAAGGCTCCAAATTCTTGACGGCAGATCGGCGGTTGATGTTTGGATCGGGTTTGTTTCTGCGTCTCGGAGGCATTGTGGGGTTTTGGGTTCGTGCTTGGCGAGTTTGAGGCCAGTCAATGTTTTAGTTGTGGTCTTTCACTTTCAACTATGTACTTTGAGCAGTATATATTACGTCGACGTGTCAATAGTTTATTGGACAAACATGGCGGGACTTTAGGGGACAAACATGGCGGGATTGAAGAGAACGAGACCATTTAGGCATTTACCAAGAACTGCCACTTGGGTTTTTCAACAAAGTTCAAACCTTTTAGCTTTCTCTCCATCTTAATGAGTTTGGCTAAATTAAAGCCTCTAACTTTAGCTGCAAAATCCACTTTGAATCACAAACCCATGTCCAAACCAACCATAAATTTGTCAATTTTAGAGACCCATTTGCCCAAATGCCAAAATCTCAAGCAATTCAATCCCATACTCTCTCAGATGATCCTCACTGGCTTCATCAGGGACACATATGCTGCAAGTAGAATTCTCAAGTTCTCCAGCGACTCTTCCTTCATTCACATTGATTTGTCCCTGAGAATTTTCAATCTGATTGAGGACGCAAATGGGTTCATTTGGAACACTATGATGAGAGCTTATATACAAAGAAACTGCCCTCAAAAGGCTTTAAATTTATACAAACTGATGGTGGATAAGAATGCGGATCCTGATAATTACACTTACCCACTTTTGGTTCAAGCGTGCGCCATCCTGGTATCAGAGTTTGAAGGAAGACAGATACATAATCACATTTTGAAGACGGGTTTTGATTCAGATGTTTATGTTCAGAACACATTGATCAATATGTATGCTGTTTGTGAGAATATGAGTGATGCCCGGAACTTGTTTGATGAAATTCCTGTTTTAAATCCAGTGTCTTGGAATTCGATTTTGGCAGGGTATGTTAGGGCTGGGGATGCGGAGAAGGCAAAGCTTATATATGATCGGATGCCTGAGAGGAACACAATTGCTTCGAATTCTATGATTGTGCTGTTTGGTAGGACAGGTTGTGTAACTGAGGCTTGTCGATTGTTTAATGAACTGCCCGAAAAAGATATGGTTTCCTGGAGCGCATTGATTTCTTGTTATGAGCAAAATGAGATGTATGAGGAGGCTTTAGCTCTGTTTCTGAGAATGGTTGCTAATGGAGTTATGGTGGATGAGGTTGTGGTGGTCACTGTTCTTTCTGCATGTGCACGCTTATCAATTGTCCAGACAGGGAAATTGATCCATGGGCTAGTTGTGAAAATTGGAATTGAAGCTTATGTTAATCTTCAAAATGCCATTATTCACATGTATTCAAGTTGTGGGGAAATTATGGCTGCCCAAAAACTGTTCAATGCAGCCTACCACTTGGATCAGATATCCTGGAACTCGATGATATCAGGGTACTTGAAATGTGGTTTAGTTGAAAAGGCTTGGACATTATTTGATTCCATGCCCGAGAAGGATATCGTGTCGTGGAGTGCAATGATATCAGGTTATGCTCAACATGACCGCTTCTCAGAAACTTTGGCATTGTTTCAGGAGATGCAGCTTCTTGGAATCAGGCCTGATGAGACCACTTTGGTGAGTGTTGTCTCAGCTTGCACTCATTTGGCGGCCCTTGATCTCGGCCAATGGATTCATGCTTATATAAGGAAAAATGGCCTTAAGATTAATGTATTTTTGGGAACAACCCTTATAAACATGTACATGAAATGTGGGTGTGTGGAAAACGCATTGGAGGTTTTCCAGGGGACTGCAGAAAAGGGAGTTTCTACTTGGAATGCTCTTATTCTTGGGTTGGCAATCAACGGGTTGGTGGAGAAGTCACTTGAAATGTTTTCAGAGATGAAAAAATGTGGCGTGGCACCTAATGAGATAACCTTTATTGGAGTTCTCGGGGCTTGTCAACACATGGGCTTAGTCGATGAAGGGCGCCGCCATTTTGATTCCATTGTCCAGGAACACAAGATAGAACCCAACGTTAAGCATTACGGTTGCATGGTTGATCTTCTGGGGCGTGCTGGTATGCTCAAGGAAGCAGAGGAACTCATTGAGAGTATGCCAATGACACCAGATGTTGCTACTTGGGGTGCCCTACTAGGGGCCTGTAAGAAACACGGGGACCATGATATGGGAGAGAGGATAGGAAGAAAGCTCATTGAGCTTGATCCTGACCATGATGGGTTCCACGTATTGTTGTCGAATATATACGCTTCAAAAGGTAACTGGGATGATGTTCATGAGATTAGGGAAATAATGGTGCAACATGGGGTGGTAAAGATGCCAGGTTGTAGCATGATTGAAGCAAATGGAATAGTTCATGAGTTTTTAGCAGGAGATAACAAACACCCTCAAATAGAGGAGATTGAGAAGAAGCTAGATGAAATGGCTAAGAAACTGAAGATGGAAGGTTATGCACCAGATACGAATGAGGTTTCATTTGACATTGATGAAGAAGAGAAGGAAACTGCTCTTTTCAGACATAGTGAGAAACTCGCCATTGCCTTTGGGCTTATCTGTACAAGTCCGCCAACACCAATAAGAATAATAAAGAATTTGCGAATATGCAATGATTGTCACATGGCAGCAAAGTTCATCTCGAAAGCTTTCAGTCGAGACATTGTGCTGAGGGATCGGCACCGGTTTCACCACTTTAAGCAAGGATCTTGTTCTTGCAAGGATTATTGGTAGCAGACTAGTATCACATAACTAAGTTGGTAAGAACATTATCCACCTTGTTAATGTTGGTTTATTGCTTTAGAACTTCTCCGGTTCTACCAAGAACTGGAAAGGCAGGGTGTGGCACCAACATGATGCTTTTGCAATCAAGCTACGTGCGCTGACAACTCCAAATAGATCATGGGGTTGAAGATCAATGCAGTTACTACCTCTGCAAGGTGAAGGAAGGCAGTGAAGTTTATTATGTTGGATAGAAGGATGAATTCAGAGTTCGAGAAACCAGTGGTGGACATCTAATGGAATGATTTGAACTGTACAAAAAGTCTCATGTTTCTCTCTTTTTCATGGTCACGGGTTCTAAATCTGAAGACACTCTCTGTAATAGCATCCCACCATATAATGATGTGAGCAACAATTACAATAAGAAACTTGTGAGCATTGCTTTTAAGGAATGTCTTACTCCAGTGAGCTTGGATGCTGTTTTGTTAGAATTTAGAATTTGATATGGAACTTAATAAGGTACAGTGAGATGACAATGCAATTCATTAAATTTGATGTTGTTTAGCTGTTTCTTTGTTGTTTCATATTTATCTCTGCATGTTAATTCAATTCTTTTCGAATAATATTGCAGGTTTGGAAGAACTCTTGATTCTCTGGAAAGCAGGATTTTCCCAAGATCGTTTTGTACATGTTGGCTTATAATAAAATAACAAAACTAATCCTCTTTACCAGGCTGCTCAGTATCATATTCGTTTACACAAATCTGAGGACGTTCTGTTTTTATCAGTAAGGTGTTTCGGCTTCTGTTCCAGTTCCATCATCTAGGTCATGCATAGAACAATTTAAATCATTTATGTGCTCTGCCTCTTTCATATGCAAAATCATAACTTCCAAAACTCCATATACCAACTTTATATGAGAACCCACCTTATCTCCTACAACAAAACCATAAACCTGGTTTCTTACCTCAATCCAACTCCTTCCTGCCTCTTTCTTATTCTCCATACCTCTCATCAACTTCCTTGTATTCGCAAATTCCCCCCATTCACCTTCAGCTGCATAAATATTTGACAACATCACATATGTGCCCACCATATTTGGCCTCAAATCTAACATCCTCCGAGCAGCCACTTTGCCTAGATGTGGAAGTTCATGTTCTTTACAAGCTCCAAGAAGTGCACCCCAAACATACTCATCCGGCTTAAATGGCATACTCTCGATTAATTCATAAGCCTCCTCAACTCGCCCAGCACGGCCTAGCAAATCCACCACACACCCATAAATGTCCTGATCTGGAGTAACCTTATAATCATTTATCATTGATTTGAAATACCTCAAGCCTTCATCGACGAGTCCGGCGTGACTGCAAGCACTCAGAACTGCCATGAACACTATTTGATCAGGTCTTATACCTGATTTTACCATCTCATCAAACAATTCAACAGCCTCTTTTCCATATCCATGAGCCCCATATCCGATCATCATGGAAGTCCAAGAGACTAAATTTCTATGAGACATTTGACTGAAAATTTTGTGCGCGTCAGTTATGCTTCCACACTTGGCATACATGTCAACAAGGGCATTAGCCAATGCCAAATTCTTCTTAAGGCCTCCCCGAATAATTCTGCCATGAACTTGTTCACCATAGTTTAAAACTGCTAAGTTAGCACATGCTGATATGACACTGCAAAATGTGAAGCTATTTGGACTAAAGCCTTCTGTATCCATATGCGAAAATATAAGTAGGGACTCTTTAGAATCAAATCTTTCGTATCCGGAAATTAAGGTGTTCCATGTGATCAAATCTCTTTGAGGCATTTCATGGAAGTACTGATTTGCCTCTGATAAACAACCAAACCTGCAATACATGTCCAGTATCGAATTCATGACAGGAAGATTGGACTCAAATCCGTGTTTAATCACTGCTGAATGTATTTGCTTGCCAAAAGTATGCGACCCGATTGAAGCACACGCTCTAATCGCAATTGAAAAGCTAAATGGGTTCAGTTCTGCTTCCTCCTGTTTTGCCAACACATTCAAATATTTCACGTACATTGCATAAAATTATGTACACTGATCCGAAGACTGAATTCTACATATGCTGTAACAAGATATTTACATATTACCTATAAAATTCTTCCAAAAACCAATTCGTTTAAGGAAATGTGTAAGGATGAATTAGCCACTTACCAGCAACATTTGGCGGAAAACTTGAAGCCCGCCATAGCCATTACCTCTGTGAGTGAAGCCAGTGATCAAAGTAGTCCATGATACATCATTTTTTTCATGAATATCATTAAAGACCATGCATGCGCCGTCCATGCTAGCACAACAAGTAGCATACATGTCCATGAGTGCATTTTCCACATAAATGGATCCCTGCATGCCTTGCTTGATAGCTCCCCCATGAACCAATGCACCACACGAAAGAGTTTTCATACCTTTACAAGCCTTCAGCACGCTAGAAAAAGTAAAAGCATTTGGCTCCATTTCATTCCTCACCATCTCACAGAACAGAGCCCATGCATGGCTGTGGTGACTGCAAGACGTGTACCCAGCAATCATAGCAGTCCATGCAACCACGTCTCTCTCCGGCATTTCATCGAACAGCTTACGTGCTTCTTTGATTAATCCCCTTTCAAAACATGATTTAATTAAATTTGTAGCTAAAATATTGGGTCTTTTTGGTAAAAATGATGTGTTTGAATGGGTGGTAAAGTTCCGGGCCCACTGAAGCGAGTTTCTGATTATGGGTGGCATCAGATGGAAATGAGTTCTGGATAGTGATTTTTGTGTGCTCATTTGTGCCGCCCTTCAACATGATCAAAGTCTTTAAACTCCTATTTATGGTGTTCCAAAGTTTGCAATTTGGTTCATCTATTGAACTGAGGGACTCTTGTAGACGTGGATTAGGCCAGTTGGCTAAGATAGTGAGCTCGTTCCATTACACCCAAATTCGAGTTTGTAAATTAAATTAATTTAAAGTATACCCATTACACAAAATCCTTTGAGATGGGCTAAAGGCCCAAAAGTTTTGTCTAATAAGTAGCCTTGTGTTGGCCACGCTGCCCATTAAATTATTCATATTTTAATATTATTTTATGTTGGAAATTAGGCTGTTTTTCCTTTTTTAAATTGGCGGATTCTTTTCTACTATTCCTAGTTAGATATCAACCAACCTCCTCTATACAAGGCACACTCGTCGACTGGTGCTGCCACCGAGTGTACACGCATATAGCATACGAGGGTCTCTCACGAAACCTTGAAAATATCACTTTTCTGACTACTTTCCCGCACTTTCTCGGCCACCAAACATCCCAGTCATGTTCCTACTGAACCAAATTCTTCTGGTTTCTTAGGAAAATTGCTCTCATTACTCTCTGATCATAAAGGTACCATCTTTCTCGTTCCCTCAAATTTCCTCAGCAGCCAAACATGGGTTTATGTGTTTTTTTTATTTATTATTTTTTATTTTCGAAAATGCTGTTTGGTTGGTTATCTGTTAACTCTTGCACTGTGCTAGAATATTTGTCACTGTTTCTTTGAGTTCTTGTCTACTTGAGCAACTGTAGGTGTTTTACTTTTAACACCAGCATATTATTCTCTTTTTATTTTATGGTTTGGTGCAGAACTTAGAGACTTTGGGCTTTTCTGGTTACTAGTATGGATTTTCTCTGTTTTTTTTTTTTTTTTCTTCCTTCAGTAGTTGCAACTTTTTTTATGTACTTTATTCTTACATCCATGCAATTATAATTGTTGCTTTTATTTTCTCCTTTTTGATATTTTCTTTGTAATATTATAGTAGGTGAATTGTGCAAGTTTTTTGTGCTAGAAAGTGAGGTGGAATTTTGACTAGTACTTTGGAGAGCCTTGCTTTACATTAGCATGTGGAATCCCTGGAAACAGTAAATTATGTGGAAAATGAATCAGTCTGGAAGTATCATAAACTAGAACCTGTTTGCTTTGTTTGTCACTTTCTTTATCAGTTAAATGAGTTAGGGTTCTTGTTCATTCGCTTGTGATATATCTCCCGAGCTGATTTTGTTAATAATTTATGAGAGAAGGGTGCATTCAATAATCTGGATACTGTTCTTCTCCAAAAATAAATTTAGCCTCATAAAGGTTATAGTTCTAACTAACATGTGGTGAGAAAACGGTAGCATTTTAACTTACTCTCTATCTCTCTCTGCCGCACTCGCACGCACGCACGTGCGCATTTGCTTCGTGCATATGGGTTATCAATTCTTAAGTTGTTAAGATCTATTCTTAAATTGCCAGATAATGGAATTATAAGATCTGTTATAAAAGTTGCGGGTTTGTGTAACGGCATTGTTAAGACCGTCTCTTAAATAAAAGAATCAGGGTATTATCTTTATATGCATGAGAATCTTGCTGAATATCTTGACTCAGTCTGGTGTCAACTTGAGTTGCATTGCTATCATATACTTTTAGATTCTGTGTGTCACTCTGATTTTGTGATAAGTAAGCTTTCCTACATTGGCGTAGATTACCATCATTGCTTGTAACTCAAATATGATTATTGTGTATGTCTTATTTTGATGCACTTATGGTAACTATTATTGAAACATCTCCTAAATATATATTAATCTTTCCTCTTGTGGTTGAACTATGTCTTATGTACATTACAACCAGTAAAGGGAGGCATTACTGTAGCAGAGAGGCAGACAGCCGGACATGGCAGACTTAGAAAATTTGCTCCTTGAGGCAGCAGGAAGAACCAATTCAGCTGGGAAAAAACGGCAGCGACTTCCACCGAGGAAGCAACATGGAGGTTCCTATTCTGATGACGGAAGTGACTCCAGGGATGAAGACTCTGATTATGATCGTAGTTATGCAAGCAGGAAGCCCTCTCAAGTTCCTCTGAAGAAGAGGCTTGAACATGAAATGAGCAGTGATGAAGAAAGCGATTATGGCGATGGTTCTGACCATGAGGGTGAAAACAGTGATGACTCTGATGTTGGCCCTGATCTATACAAGAATGAAGCTGACCGAAAATGGCTGGCAGAGTTGAGTGAACTTGAAAGAGAGATGATTTTGACAGATCGAGCAGAAAAGAAAGATGGTAAGGTTTTTATGGAGAAATTGAGATCAAAGAGAGGCAATGCAAGATCTACCCAATCAAGGAAAGAGACTTCTCCTCTTCCATTGTCTCGCGGTGTACGCTCATCAGCTAGGACTGCTGACAAGTCAGCGGCTATGGACGATGCATTGAATCAATTACGAGCAAAACGTCTGAAGCAACAAGACTCGAAGGCTCACCATAAGTTGAGGGACGCATCAAGAGCAAGTGAAGGTAGCCAGGGTACTTCACCGATCAAGAGCAAGTGGAGTCTGAGTAACTCCAGTCAAATTGAGAATGCAAGTGGGTTACACAGTGAAGACGAAGCATCAAGTGCAGATGGTGAATTGCTTGACAGCGATGAAGACGTGTCAGAGCCACCAACATTTCAGGAGATAAAGGAAATTACTATCCCAAGGTCAAAACTTGCAAAATGGTTTATGGAACCATTTTTTGAGGAGTTAATTGTGGGTTGCTTTGTTAGGGTTGGAATTGGGAGATCATCAAGTGGTCCTGTCTACAGGCTTTGCATGGTTCAGAATGTGGATGCCATGAATCCTGACCGGCAGTACAAGCTAGAGGGTAAAGTCACACATAAATATTTGAATTGTGTTTGGGGCAGTGAAAGTTCTGCTGCCAAGTGGCAGATGGCTATGGTCTCAGATTCTGCTCCCCAGGAGGAGGAGTTTAAACAGTGGTTTAAGGAAGTAGAGCGTACTGCTGGCCGAATGCCAAGCAAACAAGAGGTATTAGAAAAGAGGGAGATGCTTCAAAAATCGAATACATATGTTTACTCAGCAACCACTGTGAAGCAAATGCTGCAGGAGAAAAAGTATGCCTCATCAAGGCCAGTAAATATTGCAGTTGAGAAGGATAAATTGAGGAGGCAGTTGGAAATTGCAGAAAGTAAGGATGATGAGGTGGAAGTTGAGAAGATCAAGACAAGGCTCCAGGAATTGGAAGCATCCAGGCAAACCCAGGGGAAAGATACCAAGGCTTTTAGATTATCTGAGATGAACAGGAAGAACAGGGTTGAGAATTTTAAAAATGCTTCAGGATTGAAACGAGTGAATATGAATCTGAAAGCTGGGGAGGCTGGTTATGATCCATTCTCAAGACGATGGACTAGATCGAGAAATTACTATGTTGCAAGGCCTGGAGGAGGAGGTGATGAAGCTGCTGAGGCAACAGACAGAACTGCAGGTGTAGCCAGTAATGAGGACTGATACAAGTGCTCCAGTAGACAAAGGGACAGAGTCAAATATGCTGCACAATTTCGACCTGCCAATCTCGTTGGCTCCACTTCAGAAGCTTGGTGGACCTCAGGGCGCTCAGATTGCATACATGACGAGGAAACAAAAGATAGAAGCAACAGTTGGGTGCCGAGTGCGGGACGACGGGAAGAAGCATGCTTCGACACTGTCTGTTAATGACTATATCAGAAGAAGAGGGCTTCTCAACTAGATGCTCCACCCTGGTATCCGTTTAAGTAGTGGTTTGTAAGCTTTGCTTCTTTAGTTGGGTGAAGCCGCTCTTATGGGTTTGACTTGTTATCGTTAGTCTAAATTTATATGCACCTTTCTAGGACTGTTTTTTCCCCCAACTTTCAGTCCATTTTCTCTAAGTCTATCATATTGCATTATCTGGTTTATTGTTAGTAATGCAAATTTTATGCTCAGTACTTAGTGAAAAAAGATCAATGGGTCCATAGCTCAATGGTAAGAGCATTTGCATGAATGGTCTCAAGTTCAAACCCCAATGAGACCTCCCCCTACCCCTTTCAAACTATGACAAACAAAAAAAAGTTGGAAAAAGGCAATTTAATGAGCCTCAACTAAGTGAACAAACCATTCACGAACCTGGTAATAATTAAACAAAAAAAATAAAAAAAAATACAGGTTTTCTTTAAGAAAAAGTCAAAATAAGTCCGAAAGTTCTTCCGTTTGGATGAATGAATTGAAAATTATACATAATTTTTAAATGACAGAATCCGTCATTTAAATTTCTGGCATTTAATACGTTTGAATTTATGTATGTCGAATTTTGTAAATGACATAAATTATAGTGAAAAATGAATTACTGCTTAATAGAAATTGCAAAATGGCACTTTTTTTGGCGGAAATTGAACTCGAGAATCTTACATTTCAATTTCCACGATTTTTTCCGCACATCATTTAATAAGTTTCATGCTTAAGTTACCAAACAATGGAAATAACAATTTCTCCTCTTCAATTTCCAACTTTTAGCCAACTTCAGAGTTATTTCCTCCATCCAAAAGAAGTCAAAATCAAACTCTTACTCTGTTAATACAATACAATTCAATTATCCAATATTCGGTGTTAAGTACAAGTAGAAATGTCAATGATCAGAAACCAAAAGGCATTCTGTAAAAGAAACATGGAGTAATGTAAACAAGTAGTAATTGTTACAAGCACATACAGATGACGGATTACCTTTCCTGCGGTACCCTTAATATTCCCACCATACTCGGTCATTTTAGTTGCTCATTCCGATCAACTCAACTGATTAATCGTATGGCAAAACAAATGCAACTTGCAAGTATCAGAATATATGAAACGAAAACTGTATAATGCACTTTGAAGTCGACGACTGTTCTCTATCCACTTTTTAGTACCCTATCCTAAACTTGTTGCTGTACAGTACAAAGGCCAAATATTTGCCCTTGAAAGAATGAGTCTCATTATATGAGAATCTGAGACTTAGCAGCGCCTCTGGAGCATTTTTTGCGGCCGCTCTTGCTAAGTGCACAAACACAGATCTCAAGAAGTTCATAATCTTCGTCCCAGAATAACAAGGCCGCCTTCTCCGGATTCTCCAATAGCATTTTAGTTGTGAGGTACCCAGCAATGGTCCATGTTTGGTACAGTCGCGATTGCTTTCCGATAAACTTCCCCGTTCTGGTATCGTAGTATTCAGGCCAGCGGTCTGATCGAAGCCTCTTCTCAGCCAAATCAGCTGCCTTTTGAGCTAGATCAATTCTGCCCATCTTGAGGCACGCCAATGTGAACTGAAATAGGATAGCAAAAGAATTTGAGAGGGAAAAGCTAAATTTGAATACATTAAAGAAGAAGGGAGGTATGCTGAACATGACCATAGATCACATTTTTAAGTCTCTGCTACCTTCCCTGCCTAACTTCTTCACTGAACCTAAACTACATAAATTCTGAAAGTTTCCAATCCCATAACATACAATGGTTGTATCATGACATCCAATTCCACAAAAATGAGAATTCCTCAAAGTATTTATCTAGCCACTCAAGGCTTACCTGCCACAGGAGTGTCGGCCAAGATCCACCATTATGATATGACCAAGGGCTGTAGGAGTCAAGACAAACATATTTCAGTGATCATGAACAAATTTGATGGTACAACAAGACAATTAGCAAAAAAATGTGCAGGCAACTCACGTATTCTTCGGGTCACTGCCAGTTATTATACGCCACTCTTCAAATTCCAAGGCAGGATAGCATATCTTAAGTGGCATATGCCCCACAAGATCATCCCATTTGGCTTCTATCAAATTCAGTACAGAGTCATTTTGCTTTGGAGTGCCCAAAGATGAAACAATGGCCCAAAGATTTCCAAGAGTGAAAAACCTAAAGTCCATGTGAGCTGGTTGTAGATTGCCAATAAAATACCCGCCTTCCTCTGGAATCCAGTCCATTAACCACAAAGGAATTTGTTCAGGGTAGATATTGAACTTGTTGGTGGCCTCTGTAGAGTACTCTTCTGTCTTATATCGATATATCTCATTTATCTTTTTCATATCCACCCAGTAATATTCTCGGATGTGGAATGACAACGCGCTAAGTCTGTTGTTGATTGCCCTTACCAAAATCTTGGATCCATCATTTAGAGCAAGCATCTCACGGGAGCACCGAAGAGCCGAGTAAAATAAGGCCTAAAGAATCATATTTGGCACAAATGATATCAGCCCAATGCGATACATAATTTAACTTGAATATGATGCACTAAAACCAATAACACATGGCTGTAATAAGGATGGAATGACCATATAAAAACTGGCATGGTATCATACAAAAGGACATGAACAGGACACAACCCAAGATTCTTAAAAAACAGAAGGACGTGAACAGGAAGCATAGTTTTAACAATTTTCAGTATTTATGTTCAACAAGGAAACCACCAACATCGTTAATTTGGACCTATAACCTTTTCCACATCCTTTTTTACAATCTCTAAAAGGGCTCTAAGTGTGACATTCAAACAAAGTAGCCCTCTTATTGTAGACTACAGAAATCTTATTGTAGACTACAGAAAGAACATAAATTGATGAATACTTTAACATCTAATAAGCACCCTCAAGGACTATGCAAAGCAGCTTTTCAACTCACTTGGATCTCAAGGGGATGACCATGGATACCCATACGTCGGTCTATCATGCAGGAGCCATCTGTGACTAAAAGAGAAGGAAACATATCAAACCCATCAGTTAAGCACAGGTTCAGGATCATTTTCAAGCCTGTTTGAACATCCACCCTTTCCTGTAATGCATAGTCACCAGTTATCTTTCCATAAGCCCTCAATAGAATAATCCACCATAATCCTGCCAGAGAAGTTACACAAATAACAAACCATTAGTCATTACATACTACAACAGAGGAAATTCTTTAAAAATGAATTCCTTCCAAGAAAATCTACAAGATGCACAGGATGAGGACCCAATAACACCAGGATGGCAACAGCAGCAGACTGCGTGCAGCATCCTATAAAAGAATCACATTTTTCATTGGCACAACCAATAAAGTTCTGATATACTTACCAGAATCCACAGGTGCAACCCGGCCAATAGCTGATTCACCAAAATCAGGATCTAAAACTTCTTCGTATTTATTCCCATCGAGAGGCACAGTTCTAACTTTAAAACTTGCAGGCATCAATCCCTGCCCTGGGCTATAGCAATCAACAGTTTTCTCCCAACTCTAAGATGAAAGCAACATATAATTAGGAATTCAAGAAACCTGAATAATTAATTCAAGGTTCACTAGCGAAGAGTGTGGTCCACATAAAAAATTGCTGAAGTTATCGATAACATCAATAACTTGAGGGAGAACCATTTTTGTTAAAATATATAGCAGTTGATACGCATCACCACAGAAGAATGTAAAGCTTCACCAAAATCAATGGAATATATGTTTTGGAAAGAAAATATGCATGATGTCAATCCTTGAAATCCAAAATTAGCAATGTGTAAATGCAATAAAAAGGAAATTTGAATATTTGACAACTTGTTAATTGATAAACCAAAGATAAATAAGGTTCCAAACTTTCTATTCATATGGGTTAATCATTCATTAAAAAACTGATAACATGTATAATCAATGCTCGAGAGGAACGAAGTTTGATAAGTGGATGTGAATGATTACCTGCAATTGCAATGTATGAAGAAGGAAGTTCTTCACTATCTCTCCTTCTCCCTTAAGCAAGAATGCAAGCGCTGACGGAACAAAATCACGGATAAAGACCTGATCATAATTCAATGTTTGCTTGTCACCCGGATCATTTGCTGCAACAGTCCCCACAGGAGTCCCACAATACGTCACAACCGAATCCCTCAATAGCTTCCATGCGTCCTTCTCAATATCTGAATACTCTCTCTGTGCATTCACAACCTTAGCTTCATCCAAACCTTCCTGATTACTTACATTCTGTTTTTCATCACTAACTTCTATCCTCGACTCTTCCTCTCTCACAACATTCTCATCCTTATCAATTCTTTCCACTGTCACAGGCTTGACATTGATACCACCCTGAACATATATCCTCTCAAAATTGTTCTCATTCACACGGGTCTCAATTGATGTCGAAAGGTTTCGAAAGTTGGACGCAAGCCTAGCAATCACAGAAACACCCCTTCTAGTTGTGCCAACACTATAAGACCTAGATATAACCCCAGATTGGCCAAAACTCCAACTGGGAACCTGAGAAGCTTTGAGTGCATCATTGAAAACGTGTCCTGAGCCCGAAACACGAAAAGCGTTGGTTTGAAATTGGCATATCTGCTCAATTTTGACGCAAAAATTGGACAAATTTCCCTTCTTTGCTAAACCATGGTAGCATTTTGCAGGTGGGAACCCGAAAAGCGCCGAGTTTCGACAACTAGTTAGGATTCTACAAGTGGGTTTCATTGTCCAGTGACAAAGCAGACTAAGGGAATTCATAAAAAAGAATAAGAAATCTGATTGATGAGCAAATTCAAATCTTTAAAAGACGTACGAGATATTATAACTATATGCATATACAGCTACCCTGTTCCTTCGGAGACTGAGATATAAATAACAGCGTTGGGGTTTTCTTCAAACTTACAGAGAGGGAAGCCGCTCATCAGAGGAAGAGAGATTGTGGCAAAAGAAATGGTGTCTGAAAATTTTGGATGAGAGATAGGCTCAGATTAAATAGAGAAGTTAGCTTTTATACGTAAGCGGTGGCGCGTTGGAGACTGCGTTGAAAAAGGGCTTGCTTGGCAAAGGAAATTAATTCTTAGATATTTTTCTATATAAATGAAAAAAAATGAAGAACTTGAAAATTATATTGGAAACTCTATTTATGACAATTTATAAGTAGATTTGCTTTTCTTTGGCAGAAACTAAGTATAGAAGAAAAA